TTGTGTTTAAGACCAGCTGTGTCTCAGTGATCATGGTAGCCAAGAGCAATAGTCTAGTTGTAGAATAGTGAGGGACAGGAACTGGTGATTGTTTCCTTCATGCAAATCTGCTTGCTTTTTGTCTTGTTATTCATCATAATAGTCTTTAGCAACTTGGCTGTGAATTGTTAATAGCTGACTGCAGAATGTGAAACAGAAGCATCTCTTGGGTCAGGAGTTCTGCCCGTTGTAGCATCATAATGTAATCCTATTTGAACTCTGGATTTGGGGATTTGTGGATTTTAATGCAAAGAAACATTATATAAAAGGTGGAAACAATCTTTGCACTTGAAATGGAAAAGATCTCTGTTGTAAGCATAGGTGTAAACAACTGTGCTGAGACTTGAATGCTGAGTGGGTAGAGCAACCTCAATCCCTAAAAAATGTGGTTAAAGTTCATCCCTGTGCTTTGGGTTTCTTTGAACCCAGACTGGCTAGGCTTTGGGCAGATTTTGAGACATCTGACTCAATCCAAGGTGCAGTAAATTCTGGCTTCACTCGTCAGTCCTGTCTACAGAGATAACTCTATAGTTCCAGGTAATTGATGTGAGGTGAACAAGAGCAAATTGGTTAATCCGTAAACCAGTACTGAAGATATGAAAGCATTTTGTGGAATATGTAGTGAAACAACTGTAGTTTGCATAGCCTTTTTTGTGCCTCTAATCTCTGTAGATCTCTCTGAAATAAATTTTCCAAACACTGACATTCCTTTCCATGGGAGGAGACAGCACTTTGGCTAAAATGGAAAAATACTGTCGTTGAGTTGGCTGGTTAGCTATTCAATTAATATAATCTTTAGCACTCAATGACATAGATCAGAAGTTTGGTTGTCAAGACACACTGAAAATTCCATGGATTTCAAGTGTTATCTGAGTGGCAGGTATAATTTCTTATTGTCATATGAATACAGAACTTGAATACCTGTGGTCTGAAAGTTATGTAGAAAATAATTCCTACTTACTTGTGGAAAATGAGAAAAAAGGCACATATAAAAGCAAAATCTATGGAGGAAAAAAGGTATTTCTAATGGCATTTTTTCCCAGCTATCATATAAAATACATTACATAAGAATACTTTACTTATATTATATAATAACGTATAATACAAACATCACAGAAATATATACTGTAATAAATTGTTCTCTAATATTCATTATTTCATGGAATTGAACATCTTGCTGGAGCTTGAACTGGTATGTACATACATACATTCATTCATAGATGTATAGCAATATATGCTTGTGTGTTTTGACCTGACTAAAGTAATGAGGAAAGATTTTGCCTTCTGCAGAATTATTGAATTTCTTCAATGTGTTATACATGAAAATCTTTCAGCTCCTTAATATCAGCATGGAAAGAGGTGTGGACCTGCCTAAATGAGCCAAACCTTCCTTCATCGGGTGGTTTGTTCAAATGTGTCGCTGGAGAATTTTGTCACAGTTGCTGACTCTGGTATATAGTGGGTAGTTAAGCCACAAGTAAACATTACAGCTTTACCTAAAGGATAGGCATGAATAGCCATTAGTTTCACAGGAAGGGAGGAAATGACCCTTTTCCTGATTGTCAGGTAGTTAAACGCGGTCTTTCCAGGGTGGATTTTAGTCCATGAGGTATTCAAACAGTGAGGACAAAGGAACAGTGAAGAATTACGTTTCTAAAAAAAAAGACCTAACTGTAAACAGCAGTAAGTAGTTGCTTTTTTGTGTTGTTCAGCTTAAATTAACCCTGAGAAAAACTAAATACCTTTTGTTTGAGCTAATTTGCAAATTCCTGGTTTGTACAATTTACCTGAATTAAGAAACATTGATAGGATGTTGATTAGGGCTGAGATTATCTGCACATACTAATAGGTAACTTGATAAGATCCAGTGGTCCCAGCCGTGGCTTTAATTGTCAGAACTATCAGGCAATTGTTGGCAATCCAGAGAAATTAAAGTTACTTTGGGGTTTTTTTTATTGCTTTGTAATTTGTGCTTTGGTTAATACCAGCAATGCATTTCTGGAAGTTTCTCCCCTGTATATTTTTTCCATACATCCTGTGCTTTTGTTTTGTTTTATAGGGTTAAAAAGCCCCCAAAGAATCAGAAGTGCTTTTAGAAATAACAATAAACCCAGTTTATTCGCTGCTGGACGACCCAATGTCTATTATCTGTATGTAAATCCTCTCCTTTGTTGTTTTTCCATCAGGTATAAAGTAGAATTTCCCTGCTTTGCAAGATCCAGGTGCACTGTATGCTCATGAATGCACATCCCTCTTCAGAGCCCTCTGGCATATTGGCTTTGATAACTTGCCCAGTAGAAAAAGCACAAATAACACGGCAAAATAGAAATATAACTTCCAAATAGAGAAGGAAAATACATGAAAGGAAAAAAGGTGTTCTTTTTTATTCACTAATTTTCTTCCAAGCATGTAACTTGCACAAAATTATCTGCAAAGATCACACTCAAATGATGTCAGTGGTTAATGGGTTGCAAAAAAGTGTATATTAAAAAGCCATGTAATTTGTGACTCACCATTCCAGTTTCACTGTGTCTGAGCATAGAAAGAACTAAAACACTGAAAGATTTAGAGCCTAAGCTTACATTCTTTAGGGGTTTAAGATTTCCACTGTGGTTAATTGAAACTATATATGACTAAAATGCTGCAGTTAGATATAAAGAGTAAACAAGCAGAACTAAACCCTTTCTTATTTAATGCAATTTTGTCTGTAAAAATCTGGGTTGTGGGTTTTTTTTTGGGGTTTTTTTTTTTTTTTTTTTTTTTTTTTCTCCCAGGTATGTTACTATGCTGGTTATACTGTGCAAGTTGGGTAATTGCTCATCAATCAAAAGTCCTTTTCAATGGAAAAGGAGAAAATGTCAGTAGGACAGAGAGGTAGAAAATTATTTTAAATGCAGTAATCTGCTGTTCTTGGAAAAAAAAAAATCTATTTTCCTGTGAAATTAGGAATTCATTCATCCATTCATTCTAACTTCCTCTGCAAAGTGACTTCTGGGCCCTCAGCATTAGGTATTTCCTATTTGGTGCAGTGGTAAGGAAGGGTGGGGAAAATTGCTCGGTGGGGTTTAATCCTCCCTTGATTCTGAAGGATGGAAGAGCTGAGGTATCAACACCAGTATGTTACAGTAGTCACAAACTTGTTTTTAATTTATGGTGAAGGGAACAATGCCTTAGGGACAATCCTTCACTACCCCAAACTGCATGAATCTTTTGCACTCTCCAGAATACTCCCTTCACCGAGAAGGTGAAGAGCATTTGGAAAATTGTGACTGTTTGCTGGGGGTTTTATCTTTTTTGTGGATCATGTCTGGGGGTATCTACCTCTTAATTTCCTCTTCTGTCCTGCTGAAATAGTACTGAGCAAACCTTTGAATTAACTGCCTTACAATAATTAGGTTTGGCAAAATACCTAGAGAGACACAGACTAGTGTGCCATTAAAGGTGAAAAAACCCTCAGCAGATCTGCTGTTAAAAGGTGCCTCTATTTACCCTATCCCAGTATTTACAAAAGAAAATAATTACGGTTAAAAGAGCTTTAATTAGTGAAGATTCACCAATCAGTAACTAGAGAAAACAGTAAATCTTTAAAATACAAGAAATAGACAAGTGAGGTGCTTTCCTCAGGCAACCCCCCCTGTTTGCCCCAATATATTCCCAGGAATCCTGCTCCCCTGTCCTTTCCTTATGGTCCAGGATCTCTGTGCATAATTCCCATCCTCCTTTCATGGAATTAGAGGCTTTCCCACTCATGTACAATGTACATGTAAAAGTTTAATATGCATGTATAACTTTCAAAGTTATAATGGCAGAACAAGAAGAACTGTCATGGAGGAAAGACAGAGAAGACTAGTTTTGCTAGAAGGAGTTTTTGGTTCCTGTTAAAACAATCTGTGGTCTGTGAACCTAAAGAGAATTGCTTAAGAGCTGATAGCTTTGTTAACCAGATGCTGAAATCCCAGTTTAGCTGATCTCACTAAGCATTTTACTTTTCCGTGGGTTTTTGGTTTTGGTTTTTTTGGTGGTTTTTTTTTTTTGTTTTGTTTTTTTTTTTGTTTTTTTTTTTAATGCTTGGTTGGTTTGTTGGATATTTTTCTTCCTAATTTTTCACTGGAATCAATAGATTTGCTATCTGGAAAATTTGGCCTTTACTAGATTCAATCAGTATTGCACATCTTACATGTTTTGCATTAGTGACAGCGGACTACCACTATTAGATTATTGTTTGCACTGGCAGGGGAGGCTGGCAGATGCTTAGCTGATTTAAAATGGTATGGTTAGTGTGGTACCATCAGAGTCATGTAAGCTGTGGTAGGTAGATACCAGGGGAATAATATTTCCATTTTACTGACTGAGAAATTGAGCGACATGGAGATCATGAGGCATGGCCACAAAACCTCATCAGGCTCTTTACAGAACTAGGAGCCAGGCCCAGTCACCTAAAATCCAGTTCAAATTCCTGGCCAGTGTTACACTATCTGACAGAGAGAGTCACTAATTAGTGTTTTGAAGGTCTTACTTCTCTCTTACACACAAAAGGAGATTAATCTACTAATCCTCAATACCGAGTGAATGTATCACACTGTACAGTTACAAAATGATGCTTTCAGTGTGACTTTTTAAACATCTTTCAGCTCATTCAACACTATTTTCTATAAAACAGAGTGCTTATAAAGGAATACTGTTCATCCTCTCCTCTGCAGAACAAAAAGCAGCCCACAACTGTAAGGTCTCTTTCCATTCATCAGCCACCACATCTGTTGCTTGCTTGGACACCGACCAAAATGATTCATTCAAATGTCTAACATTTATTTTTGGTGAAATACTGGGATTATACAGCGTGGCAATATTTCAAAAATGGGTCTAGAAAACCAAGGGAAGTTGGAAACAACTTCCTCAGCTGAAAACAAACACGGCGTTATATCATCCTGCAGCTTTATTAGAGGGAAGGCAGTGGCCAAGTGAAGCAGCTGGAATCACACTGAAGTGACTCTGAACTCTGCAGATCATTTCATTCCTCCTTCTGCTACAGAGCTCAGATCCCTGATTTACAGTGCCTTTTGTTTCAAAGAACTAAGCAAGGTAGGTCAAACTCTCTTATATTTATGATCTTTCTTTCCCTTCCCTTCTAAATAGTGAGTCTACAGCTGCAACAACACTTGCAGGCAAATGTTGTAAGGTGGAATAGCATATATTGGCTAAAAGAGCTTCTTGGAAGAAAGAATGTGATACTCATTTACTTCAAAGGTTACTTTGAACCACCCCAGCTCCAAGAAAAGGTATGAAAATGTGTGTGAATTTAATTTTTAATTACTTTTGAATATGTTAATACACACTCCAAGGAGTTTTACCCGTCAGCAAATGGTAAGTGACCCTGACTTAAATCTCTCTCTCCCCTCTGTGTTCCCTAGTGTGTTGGATTTAATTTTTTTATTTGCTCAGGGATAGTGTGTCTTCCATAGCTATAGCAATTTCCAGTATAATTAGTTAAAAATACATCAGTTCTGATCTGGACAGAACAGATTCTAGAACAGAAACTGGAAATCATTTCCACTTAAATGGCAGATTAACAGAATACTTCTGAAGAATTGCAGTTCTGCAGAATTAAATAAGGTTTCTGTGGTCTCAGCTGGAAAGTGTGTGTGTTTTCCCTAACCATTGTGGAATAAGGTAGGATGTGGATCTAGCTTTCAGTAAGTGTATTGGAAGTGACAATAAGATTTGAAGCCTTGTGTGCTACCACACAATGAGACAGGAATAAATTCCACCTGCTATTCACACTTAGTGATAACAGTGTCATTGTCACCTGTCGCCTTTCTAGATGTGATCTTGCAAGCTAAACAATATCCCAGACCTGTTTTTGTGGACTTAGAAAACATGTATACACTGAACCTTGTCTGTGAATTAAAACACATTTGATTTCTACCTGAATAAAATAGTATCACTGAATAATATAAAAAGCTTATTAATTCATAGCTAAGGAGAAGAGAGTGACTAAGGGTATGTCAAGGTAAAGTAGTTTGTCAGAGGAGATTTGTAGAAACTGATTTCAGGATTAACTTACTTAGGATAGCTTACTTTCATTATCATAGTGCTATTGTTCTGCCTCAGAACTGGGAAATGCAAATATTTTTATAACCCAATTTAATTTTGTTTGATGTCACTGAAACTTCTGGCCAAATTTAAAGCATTATCAGCATCTTATGCCAGACAGATAGGATAGAGGTTCTGTTAACTTTACTTCAGTCCTAGGGATTTTTTATGTGCCATAAGTGAGTCCACTTCTCTTGAATGGAGAATCTCTTTGATTGTGGCACAGTGGAAGTTATTTGACTCTGGAGAATGAATTTATGGTTTGGATTCTCTAATTGCCTTTGTGGAAAAGTCAGGGAAGCTCTGTCTAAGGATTCCTAGTTAGGACCTGATTACAAATTTTTATTGCATGGGTGAGAGCAGAAGAAAACTGTTGATCAAAATAATGCAGTTTCCATGTCCTGTGCATTATGTATTCTTTCTTTTAATTTTAAGAATTTCTTTTTCTGCTGACAGCCAAATGAGCAACTTCTGAAATGCTTCAATTTTTTGTTTATTTTTAATCATTTATATTGGTAAATTGTTTCAAGAGGAAAACTTAAATCTGTTTCCTAACATAGCCAGTTGCATTAAAGAATTTTCTTCTCGTTGTGTTTTTTAACAGGCACTTGAAGTTTGTGATCTGCTATTCGATATTAATTTTGAATTAATAACTCTGCTATTCCCAGCACAAAGCAGCAGCCAGGTTTCCAGGAGATTTAAATCTTTTGAATGGTCTTATTATTTGCTTATTTATTTATTTTGTCTTATGGAATGTGCCAGCAGTTCAGCTGTCTCTCTTACTGTGGTGGCTGCTTCTCTGGCTAATTTGCACTCATTATTTCTGATAATGGTTTAATTTGTGTTCATTCAGTCTGAAGCTAGCAGTTTCACCGCAGTGCTGGGCTCTGTTGTGGCTGGCTTTGCACAAGAGAGCTGACTGTGAGGAGCAGTTCCTTGTGGTCTCTTAGCAGAGGAAAGGGACTGCTGTGACTGGGGTAGGCAGTGTCCAAGAGACAATTCTTCTAGAGGGGAGATGCCATTATGTGGACATGAGCTCTCTCACAATTTCTTTTATTTTTATAGTGTGCTTGGGGCTCCTGAGCCAAAAAGAAAAGTTATGTGTCCTTCCTCAAAGGTAGCATATAGTACTTATATACATATAGTATAGGAGAGCTCAGCTACTTCTGTACTCTTTCCATCTCCAGTATGTTCCAGGGGTTGGGGGCCTTAAAGCAGGAGCAAAAATCCACATATTAGCCCGTGGTTGCTTTTTTCCAAAAGGAATTCCTGCTGGCTTGTTGGTCCTATTTCTCTTCCCCTACCCAGGCTCTCTTGTCCCTTTCTGATAATTCTTGAAGGATGTATTTCAAGAATCAAAAGGCACAAGTATGAAGAACCAGAATCTTTTCCCTCTATCCACTGAAGATATTTGCCTCTTTATTCTTTTGGCAAGTTATTCTGCTCCCAACTTTACCTTCAAATTTACTGTTTGGCTTAGGGCAAGATATGCCTCTTCCTTTCCCTACTCTTGTATGTGTTTATTCTGTTTAATTATAAACAAAGCAGGAACTGTCTTTCATTATGTGCTATAGTGCCTAGACTCTGTGAGGCTTTGATCTCCAGGACTAGGGCCTTTGGGTACTTTCCCAACAAAAAATACTTGCTTCTTTCAGCAAGTGTGAGCCTGGCACACGAGTTTTATTCCCTTCTGAGGCCTTCTAGAGGAGACAGAGAAAGTGATGTGTAGAAAGTTCTGTGCTGTCAATGTAATGCCACTTCCTACACTCCCATCTCTTCTTTCTAGTGATGCCCTTTTAATGAGTTTCAGCCCCACATCATTTTCATGATATGTTTTGGAGATGTTAAGAACCATTGCCTATTTAAGAAACCTGAGTACTGTTAACTGAGGGTGTTGTACCATATCTGGCAGAGTCAAGTGAGAAGTGATTTGTAAAGGTAATATGGGAAGCCTGTAAAACCAGTACTTCCAAGCTCCTAATTTAACACTTTAATCACAGGTGCCATCTGTTCCTATCAGTGCTGGGGAGTGTTCCCAATACCATGTTAGGGAAACGGATAAATATCCAGTGCTCCTGAAACTGTGTTTAACAATGTGAATTTTTCAGTTTTGCAGGAATAAAGCCAGTACTTATTACAGACTTGATCTTAAAGTAAAAAAAAAAAAAAAAAAATAGTTGGCTTTGTGTGAGTAGGAAAACTAGAATAACACTGATACAGGAGTAGACACCCTTAATCTACTGTACACAGTGACCCTAATGTATTAACTGTGAGGACATAATAAAGTATGTTATCCAAAACATTCCAGCTGATAAGACATGTACTGTCAGTATTTTGGAATTGGATGTTCTTATATACTCATGCAAGTGTATGTGTCAAGAGTAATATAAGCATAGCAATATTACATTTATGCTAGAATAAACTGCTGAGTTATATAAATGAGGGGTAGAATAAACCTAGGAAAACAGAGATTAATTTAGAGGGCAGTACACAACCAAGCATACTGTAATAGATGACTAGGAAATTGAATAGGATATCAGAAGGCATATTAGAGGAATGAGTTGTGGTTCTCTGAGTTATTTTTTAACTCTTCTTGTTTAAAGGACTGTAAGTATAGCAGATTGTAACCTATTTTTTATCTGCTATTCAATAGATATTTTGTATCTTGCTGGAGAGAATGTTACTTTGGATTTTTTCTGTAATGATCTGTTGTTACCTGCAATACCTTTTGAATGGCTGTTGTCTAACATATGTTTAATTGCCTTAATTAGTCTGGTGAGTCAACTGCACAAAAAAAAAATCTCTGCATTTACTCTGTATCCTCTACTCTCACTTTACTATTTTTTGTTTGGAGGAGTTGTGGTTAAAGCATGTGTTTGTTGAAACAGTACAAGCATTTAGAACATGCTCGGAGCTGCATGATCATGTAATGATCACATGAATGCTAGTCAGAATATTCTTTCATCAGAAATACGTGAAACAGTTGCAAAGTAAAAATTCCAAGTAATTTTTGCATGAAAACCTTAAAAAGCCATAATTAATTAGAAAAGCAAGCATTCATTATCCCATCAGTCCAGTCACTACGAAGCTGAAGCACTTAAATTTAGATATCTCTGTTGCTCTAGGTATGTAGTTGTTATGGTGGCTTATAGCCAAAGAAAATTCTGCTGGCATTTGAGGAGGAATAGAAAACACGTGAAGCTTCCATGGAACAGCACTTGCTCAGTGTGTTAGCTCAGAGCCAGCAGGATTCACGGTGTACCTGCTGGCTCTGAGGTGTGTGCTGGGACTGCTGAGACACAGCAGTGGGGATGGCAAGCAAAGGGTGCAAATCCAGGCTGCTTTTCTCTTCCCCATGAGAAACTAGACCAGGAGCAGCAAGGGCTGCCCAGGTAAGTGCTGCCTTCCTCCACCACAATGAGCTTGATGGCACAGAAGGGGCCTCCCTTCAGGAAGGAAAAGGTCTCCCAGAGGTGCAGCTGTGGTTCTTCACCATGAGAGAAGGGACAGTGCTAGGTTTGAGAAAGGAGGAGAGGGCTGTGGTTGAGCTGCTAGGCAGGGACTCTAGATTTAGCACTTGGTTTGATCAGAGACTTCCTGTGGGTCATGCTCAGCATTCTACAGTAAACCAGGCTGATGAACCAGACTTCTCACTTGAACCTCACTTCAGTAAGGGTTGTGAATACTGAAGCATTATGACTGGGTATGTAAATACTTTGGCAGTGCTGGCACATACAATACATCAGACAATTTTAAAATCTCGAGTGTCACTGTTCAGCTAAATATCTATTTTTTTTTTTTTTGTAAGAATATTATTTTTTTTTCTCTAAAAAATGGTGCTACTTTTAAGTGTTTCACAGATATGACCAGTCATTTTCCTGACTCTGATGTATGATTTTTATGGTTACATGATTTGCAGTGGCTACAGCAACTCCAACTAAAGAAATATTAAAAATTACATTCTTACTTTTAGCTGTATTAGCAGAAGGGAATAAGAGCAGAAACAAGTGCTAACTGTGGAGTTATCAAGTGCTCTCCCCTTCGCCAGTGCATGTCCTGGGGATGTCTAGTCTTCTTTGTCATCTTTGGGAATGGAAGACTTGGTGCTTGGGATCAGCTTGAAAAGAAATCAGTTTCAATGATATGCAGTAGCTGGTTGCAGACATGTATCAGGTCTCTGATTGTG